TTTCAAGAAGGAGAAATGTGACAACAACTAATCAATATAGAGAACATCAATGTGAATCATTTGCCTAAATTCATGGGTGGAACAGACCCTAAAAAATATTTGGATTGGGAGAAGAAAATTGAATAAAATTTTGAATCTAAAGGGTTAGGTGATGAGATAAGATGTAAATATGTGATTCTGAGGTTTATGGGAGGAGCACCCATTTGGTATGAAGAACTGGGGGCTAGTAGAACTCGTAAAGGGGAGAAGAATATCTCATCATGGGAATCTTTAAAGCGCAAAATCAGATAATGGTATGCTCCAGCAGTTTACCTAATCACAATTATTCCTAAAATTTTTGAATCAAGGCAAAATAAATTGGTTGTGACCAAGAATAAAGAATGTTTGGAAGAATCTACTATTCTTATTTTGGAATCTGTTGTTGTGGCTGAAGATAACAATGAATCAACGGAAGAAGAAGAAGAAAGATAATGTGAAACTGTTGTACTAGAAGAAGCTCGTGAAGCTGAAGAAGAAAAGTATGAGGCCCTAGTGTACGATGTAGATAGGGAAGCAGAAACTGATGAAGCAACTGTAGAAGAATTCATTTTCATTGATAGAATGAAATTTTTGAAGATTATGTTCCTCTCAACGAAACTGATAGGGAAGAGTAATTTGTTGAAGAAATTGAAAAACTAACTTTTAGGATCGGAGACGAAGCGGTTTAAGCAAATTCGAAAGAGAACAATTTTGCTGATGTAGTAAAAATTATTGAAGAAAAGGATATTTTTGGTCGACATAGATGCGAAAGGTGACCTTTCAGATTCTGAAATAAGTTCCAATCATGAGATGAATTCATGTTTTGAAACTCGGTTCAATTCCAAAATATGTTCAAATTGCAAATAGATGCGATTGGATGCAAACGATCGCAAGCCATTGCAGTCGTTAGTGATCCGTTGTGAATGTCAGAACGAGGTTGGTTATGATTGTGAATCGTAAAAGCTAGTAGGTTGCGAATCTCAGAGGCCAGCAGAGTCAATTAAGATTGTTTGCGACCCTCGGATGCGAAAGTTACTTGTTGGATCTATGGTGCGAAGGGAATGATAGATATGTTGCAACGGAAGATTCTAGATTGAAGACCCCATATTTTACTTTATGTTTGGAAACAAATTTATTTTCTTTTTTAAGCCTTTCTTAGGTAGTTTCCTTTTTGTGATTAGTTTCTTTTTTGTAATCATTGTAAGACTATAAATAGCTCATTCGTCGAACATTTTAAGATTCCATTTTGAGTGGAATTTTGAAAGAAATTTTGTTCATCCTTTCTTCAATTATTGTGTATAATTCAGATTATTATCATGGTTTGGTACATGTTTCTCATTTGTGGGTCGATTTCAAATCAATAAGTCTTGACTTGTTTTCACATATCCTTTGACAAATGCTTTCCTTATTTTGACAGAATTCAAGTTAATAGGTCTTAACTTGTTTTCACTCGATATTATCTATAGGTCTACATAGTCCATGAATTCTATACTTTTTCTTATTTTCTTGTCTTTCTTATTGTAGTTATTGTTTCCCCTGCAATCATAAATCCCCAAAATCAAATCACCCCCTCAATATTCGTATCATATGTGGTATCAGAGCTACAAGGTTCTGTGAGACAAAAGTTCAGCGCCCGAAAAGGTCATGTGAAGTTTTGTTAGAGCTGAAATTTCTGTTAAGTTTCTTGGAGTTCATTCATTGTCAAGATTTTATGTTTTGGTGGAGTATGATCCACATATGCTGGCATGTGATGTTTGTACATAGAATCGAGTCCTTGTGAATGAGCAGAGCCAGGTGCTCTTATTTTATGACGGTTGGGACGATTGCTTCCATTACTGACCATACAGACTGCTTTGATTTTTGTGTTTTGATTTTCTTATCCATATTTTACTGTTGGTTCGGTTGATATGTCATCTTAAGAGGCCATGGATTTTGAAGTTCTAAGTTTCTTAATCAGATTATGTTCAACACTACATGGTTTGCAAGAAGGAGAAAGGTGACAACAGCGAAAGAATATTGAGAATTTCAATGTGAATCAATTGCCTATATTGGTGGGTGGAACAAATCCTAAAAAATATTTGGATTGGGAGGAGAAGATTGTAGAAATTTTTGAGTCCAAAGGGTTAGGTGATGAGATAAGATGTAAAAATGCGATTCTGAGGTTTAGGGGAGGAGCATCCATTTGGTATGAAGGACTGAAAACTAGAAGAACTCGTAAAGGGGAGAAGAAGATCTCATCATGGGAATCTTTAAAGTCTAAACTCAGAGAAAGGTATGCTCCAGTAGTTTACCCAATCACGATTATTCCTACAATTTTTGAATCAAGGCAAAAGAAATTGGTTGTGACCGAGAATAGAGAATGGTTGGAAGAATCTACTATTGTGATTGAGGAATTTGCTGTTGTGGGTAAGATAACAATAAATCGATGTAAGAAGAAGAAAGATTATGTGAAACTGTTTTACTTGAAGAAGCTGAAGAGGAAAAGTATGAGGCCCTAGTGTACGATGTCGATGGGAAAGAAGAAACTGATGAAGCAATTGTGGAAGAATTCAATTTCATTCATATGAACAAAATTGTTGAAGATTATTTTCCTTTAAAAGAAACTAATGGGGAAGAGTAATTATGTTGAAGAAATTGAAGAACTAACTTTTAGGATTAGAAACGAAGCGGTTGAAGAAAAGGCGATTTTTGGTGGACAACAAAGTTCGTTCAAAGATAACGGATTGTCAGAATTGAGGACAATTACTTTCAAAGGGGATGGGATGATATGATTATGAAAGGAGACCTTTCAGATTCCGAACTAAGTCCCAATTATGAGATGAATTCAGGTTGCAAAACTCGTTCCAATTCCAAAATACGTTCAAATTGAAAATAGATGCCACTGGATGCAAATGATCGCAATCCATCGCAATTGTTAGTGATCTGTTGTGAATCTTGGAACGAGGTATGTTGTGATTGCGAATCTCAGAAGCCAGTAGGTTGCGATTCTCAGAAGATATCACATCCTCGGATGATCAGTTACGAATCTCAGAGGCTAGCAGACTCACTTAAGATTGGTTGTGACCCTCAGATGCGAAAGTTACTAGTTGGTATCTATGGTGCGAAGGGAATGCTAGACAACTTGCAATGGAAGATTCTAGAGTGAAGACCCCGAATTTTGCTTTACTGTGCAAAACAATTTTATTTTCTTTTCTAAGCCTTTGTTAGGTAGTTTCCTATTTGTAATTAGTTTCTTTTTTGTAATCATTGTAAGGCTATAAATAGCCCATTAGTCAAATATTAAAAGAGTCAATTAATTTTGAGTGGAAATTTGAAAGAGCTTTTGTTCATAATTTCATGAATTATTGCATATAATTCAGATTGTAGTCATTGTTTGGGACATGTTTCTCATTCATGGCTCGATTTCAAATCAATAGGTCCTGGCTTGTTATGAGATATCATTTAACGAATGCTTTCCTAATTTTGATAGAATTCAAGTTAATAGGTCTTAACTTTTTTTCACTCGATATTATCTATAGGTGTAGATAGTCCATGAATTCTATCCTTTTTCTTATTTTCTTGTCTTTCTTGTTCTAGTTATTGTTTCCCCATCAATCATAAATCCCCAAAAACAAATCACCCCCTCATTATTCATATCATATGTGGTATCAGAGCTTCAAGGCTCCGTGAGACAAAAGCTCAGCGCCCGAAAAGGTCTTGTCAAGTTTTGTTAGAGCTAAAATATCCGTTGAGTTTCTTGGAGTTCATTCGTTGTAAAGATTTTCTGTTTTGGTGGAGTATGATCTACATCTGCTGGCATGTGATGTTTGCATATTGAATCGAGTCCTTGTGAATGGGCATAGCCATGTGCTCTTATTTTACGACGATATGGACGATTGCTTCCATTAATGACCATATTGACTGCTATGATTTTCGTGTTTGATTTTCTTATCCATATTCTACTGTTGGTTTGGTTGATATGTCATCTTAAGAGGCCATGGATTTTGAAGATCCAAGTTTCTTAACCAGATTACGTGAAGCACTACATGGTTTGCAAGAAGGAGAAAGGCGACAACAGCCAAAGAATATTGAGAATTTAAATGTTAATCAATTTCCTATATTCGTGGGTAGAACAAATCCTAAAAAATATTTGGATTGGGAGGAGAAGATTGAAGAAATTTTTTAGTACAAAAGGTTAGATTATGAGATAAGATGTAAAAATGTGATTGTGAGGTTTAGGGGAGGAGCATCCATTTGGTATGAAGGACTGAAAGTTAGAAGAACTCGTAAAGGGGAGAAGAAGATCTCGTCATGGGAATATTTAAAGCGTAAACTCAGAGAAATGTATGCTCCAGTAGTTTACCCAATCACGATTATTCCTAAAATTTTTGAATCAAGGCAAAAGAAATTGGTTGTGACCGAGAATTAAGAATGGTTGGAAGAATCTATTATTGTGATTGAGGAATTTGTTGTTGTAGCTAAGATAAAAATGAATCAATGTAAGAAGAAGAAAGATTATGTGAAAATGTTTTACTTGAAGAAGCTTGTGAAGCTGAAGAGGAAAAGTATGAGGCCCTAGTGTACGGTGTTTATAGGAAAAAGAAACTGATGAAGCAATTGTGGAAGATTTCAATTTCATTGATCTGAACAAAATTGTTGAAGATTATGTTCCTTTTAAAGAAACTAACGGGGAAGAGTAATTTTGTTGAAGAAATTGAAGAACTAACTTTTATAATCAGAAACGAAGCGGTTGAAGCAAATGCGAAAGAGAACAATTTTGTTGATATAGAAAAAATTATTGAATAAAAGGCGATTTCTGGTGGACAACAAATTTCGTTCACAGATAACGACCTCTCAGAATTGAGAACAATTCCTTTCAAAGGGGAGGGGATGATATGATTATGAAAGGCGACCTTTTAGATTCCGAACTAAGTCCCAATTATGAGATGAATTCAGGTTGCAAAACTCGTTTCAATTCCAAAATACGTTCAAATTGCACATAGATGCCACTGGATGCAAATGATCGCAAGCCATCACAATCGTTAGTGATCTATTGTGAATCTCGGAACGAGGTTGGTTGTGATTGTGAATCTCAGAATCCAGTAGGTTGCGATACTTGGAAGACAGCACATCCTCAGATAATCAGTTACGAATCAAAGAGGCTAGCAGACTCACCTAAGATTATTTGCGCCCCTCAGATGCGAAAGTTACTAGTTGGTATCTATGGTGCGAAGGGAATGCTAGATAACTTGCAATGAAATATTCTAGATTGAAGACCCTAGATTTTACTTTATTGTTGGAAACAATTTTATTTTCATTTCTAAGCCTTTATTAGGTAGATTCCTTTTTGTAATTAGTTTCTTTTTTAGAATCATTGTAAGGCTATAAATAGCCCATTGTTCGAACATTACAAGAGTCAATTTTGAGTGGAATTTTGAAAGAACATTTGTTCATACTTTCATGAATTATTGCATATAATTCATATTGTTATGACATATCATTTGACGAATGCTTTCCTAATTTTGAAAAAATTCAAGTCTTAACTTTTTTTCACTCGATATTATCTATAGGTGTAGATAGTCCATGAATTCTATCCTTTTTCTTATTTTTCTTGTCTTCCTTGTTCTACTTATCGTTTCCCCTGCAATCTTAAATCCCCAAAATGAAATCACCCCCTCAGCATTCGTATCATATGTGGTATCAGAGCTACAACGTTCTGTGAGACAAAAGTTCAGAGCCCCAAAAGGTCATGTTATGTTTTGTTAGAGCTAAAATATATGTTCAGTTTCTTGGAGTTCAGTCGTTGTCAAGTGTTTCTGTTTTGGTGAGTATGATTTGATGTTGTGATTTTTGTGTTTTATTTTGTTATCCATATGTTACTGTTGGCTCGGTTGATATGTCATCTTAAGAGGCCATAGATTTTGAAGATCCAAGTTTCTTAATCAGATTACGTGAAGCACTACATGGTTTGCAAGAAGGAGAAAGGTGACACCAGCCAAAGAATATTGAGAATTTGAATGTGAGTCAATTGCCTATATTCGTGGTTGGAACAGATCCTAAAAAATATTTGGATTGGAAGGAGAAGATTGAAGAAAGTTTTGATTCCAAAGGGTTAAGTGATGAGATAAGATGTAAAAATGTTATTCTCAGGTTTAATGGAGGAACATCCATTTGGTATGAAGGACTGAAAGCTAGAAGAACTCGTAAAGAAGAAAAGAAGATCTCTTCATGGGAATCTTCAAAGCGTAAACTCAGATAAAGGTATGCTCCAGCAGTTTACCCAATTGCGATTATTCCTAAATATTTTGAATCAAAGCAATAGAAATTGGTTGTGACCGAGAATATAGAATGGTTGGAAGACTCTACTATTATGATTGAGAAATTTGTTGTTGTGGCTAAGCTAACAATGAATCGATGGAAGAAGAAGAAATATTATGTGAAACTGTTTTACTTGAAGAAGCTTGTGAAGCTAAAGAGGAAAAGTAGGAGGCCCTAGTGTATGATGTCGATGGGAAAGAAGAAATTGATGAAGCAATTGTGGAAGAATTCAATTTCTTTGAGGTGAATGAAATTATTGAAGATTATGTTTCTTTTAACGAAACTAATGGGGAAGAGTAATTTGTTGAAGAAATTGAAGAACAAAATTTTGATGATCAGAGACGAAGCAGTTGAAGTAAATGCGAAAGCGAACAATTTTGCTGATATAGAATTTTCTTTTGAAGAAAAGGCGATTTTTGTTGGACAACAAAGTTCGTTCAAAGATAACCGCCTCTCAGAATTGAGGACAAAAGGGAGGGGATGATACGATTATGAAAGGCGACCTTTCATATACCGAACTAAGTCTGAATTATGAGATAAGTTCTGGTTGCAAAACTTGTTCCAATTCCAAAATTTGTTCAAATTGAAAATAGATGCGACTGGATGCAAATGATCGTAAGCCATAACAATCGTTAGTGATCTGTTGTGAATCTTGGAACAAGGTTGGTTGTGATTGCGAATCTCAGAAGCCAGTAGGTCGCGATTCTCGAAAGACATCACATCCTCGGATGATCAGTTACGAATCTCAGAACCTAGCAGACTCACTTACGATTGGTTGTGACCCTCAGATGCAAAATTTACTAGTTGGTATCCATGGTGCGAAGGGAATGCTAGATAACTTGGAATGGAAGATTATAGATTCAAGACCCCAGATTTTACTTTTTTGTTGGAAACAATTTTATTCTCTTTTCTAAGCGTATATTAGGTAGTTTCCATTTTGTAATTAGTTTCTTTTTTGTATTCATTGTTAGGCTATAAATAGCCCATTGGTCGAACATTAAAAGAGACAATTTTGAGTGGAATTTTGAAAGAACTTTTGTTCATAATTTCATGAATTTTCATGAAAGAACTTTCGTGGATCGATTTCAAGTCAATATGTCTTGGCTTGTTTTCACTAGATATTATTTGGAGGCCTAGATTGTCTATCAATTCTATCATTTTCCTTATTTTCTTGTCTTTATTGCTCTAGTCATTTTTTCTGCTACAATGATAAATCCCCAAAAACAAACCACCCCCTCAGTATCGGTATCATATTTGGTATCAGAGCTACAAGGTTCTGTGAGACAAACTTTTAGAGCCCCAAAAGGTCTTGTCGGGTCTTGTTAGAGCTTAAATTTATGTTGATTTTCTTGGAGTTCATTCGTTGTTAAGATTTGCTGTTTGGTGGAGTTTGATTTGATGCGTTGATTTTCGTATTTGATTTTCTTATCCTAATTTTACAGTTGGTTCTGTTGAAATCTCATCTTAAGAGGCCATGAATTTTGTCGATGCAAGTTTCATAATCAGATTATGTGAAACACTACACGGTTTCCAAGAAAGGGAAAGGCGAGAACAACCAACGAATATTGAGGACGTCAATGTGAATCAATTACCTAAATTCATGGGTGGAACAGATCTTAAAAAATATTTGGATTGGGACGAGAAGATTCAATAAAATTTTGAGTCCAAAGGGTTAGGTGATGCGATAAGATGTGAATATGCGATTCCGAGGTTTAGGAGAGGAGCATCCATTTGGTATGAAGGACTGAGGGCTAGAAGAACTCGTAAAGGAAAGAAGAAGATCTTTTCATGGGAAGCTTTGAAGCGCAAACATAGAGAAAGGTATGCTCCAACAATTTACCTAGTCACGATTATTCCTAAAATTTCTGAATCAAGGAAAAAGAAATTGGTTGTGACCGAGAATAGAGAATAGTTGGAAGAATCTGCTATTGTGTTTAAGGAATGTGTTGGTGTGGCTGAAGATAACAATGAATCGATGGAAGAAGAGGAAAGATTATGTGAAACTGTTGTACTTGAAGAAGCTCATGAAGCAGAACAGGAAAAGTATGAGGCCCTAGTGTATGGTGTTGACAGGAAAGAAAAAACTATTGGAGGAGTTGTGGATGAATTCAATTTCATTGATCTGAATGAAATTGTTGAAGATTATTTTCCTATCTACGACACTGATAGGGAAGAGTAATTTGTTGAAGAAGTTTTAGAACTCACTTTTATGATCAGAGACGAAGAGGTTGAAGCAAATGTGAAAGAGAACAATTTTGCTAATATTGAAAAAAATATTGAAGAAAAAGGGATTTTTGGTGGACAACAAAGTTCGTTCGAAGATAGCGGCCTCTCAGAATTGAGGAGAATTCCTTTCAAAGCGGAGGGGATGATACGATTGCGAAAGCCGACCTTACAGATTCTGAACTAAGTCCCAATTATGAGATGAGTTCATGTTGCGAAACTCGTTCCATTTCCAATCTACGTTCAAATTGCAAACAGTTGCCACTGGATGAAAATGATCGGAAGCCATTGCAGTCGTGAGTGATCAGTTGTGAATCTCAGAATGAGGTTAGTTGTCATTGCGAATCTCAAAAGCCAGTAGGTTGCGATTCTCGGTAGACATCACATCCTTAGATGATCAGTTAAGAATCTCAGAGGCAAGCATACTCACTTAAGATTGGTTGCAACCCTCGGATGCGAAACTTACTTGTTGGGATCTATGGTGCGAAGGGAATGATACATAGCTTGCAATGGAAGATTCTAGATTGAAGACCCCAGATTTTACTATTTAGTTGGAAACAATTTTATTTTCTTTTTTAAGCCTTTAGTAGGTAGTGTCCTTTTTGTAATTTGTTTCTTTCTTGTAATCATTGTAAGGCTATAAATAGCCCATTCGTTGAACATTAGAAGAGTCAATTTTTAGTTGAATTTTTAAAGAACTTTTGTCCATCCTTTCTTGAATTATTGCATATAATTCAGATTATTGTCATTGTTTGAAACATATTTCTCATTCGTGCCTCGATATCAAGTCAATAGGTTTTTGCTTGTTATCACATATCATATGACGAATGCTTTCCTACCTTTGATAGAATTAAAGTTAATAGTTCTTAACTTCTTTTCACTCGACATTATCTGTAGGTCTTGATTGTATAATAACTCCATCCTTTTTCTTATTTTCTTGTCTTTATTGTTCTAGTCATTGTTTTTGCTGCAATGATTAATCCCAAAAAACAAACCACCCCCTTAGTATTCATATCATATGTGGTATCAGAGCTACAAGGTTCTGTGAGACAAAAGTTCAAAGCCCCAAATGGTATTGTCGAGTTTTGTTAGAGCTAAAATTTTTGTTGAGTTTCTTGGAGTTCATTCGTTGTCAAGATTTGCTGTTTGGTGGAGTTTGATTTGATTCTGTGAATTTCATATTTGATTTTCATATCCAGATTTTACTGTTGGTTCATTTGAAATGTCATATTAACTGGCCATGGATTTTGTCGATCCAAGTTTCTTAATCATATTATGTGAAACACTACATTGTTTGCAAGAAGGAGAAAGGTCACAATATCCAATGAATATTGAGAACGCAAATGTGAATCAATTGCCTAACTTCATGGGTGGAACAGATCCTAAAAACTATTTGGATTCGGAGGAGAAGATTCAATAAAATTTTGAGTCCAAAGGGTTAGGTGATGAGATCAGATGTAAATATGTGATTCTGAGGTTTAGGAGAGGAGCATCCATTTGGTATGAAGGACTGAAGGCTAAAAGAACTCGTAAAGGGGAGAAGAAGATCTCGCCATTGGAATCTTTAAAGTGCAAACTCAAAGAAAGGTATGCTCCAGCAGTTTAACGAATCACGATTATTCATAAAATCTTTAAAGTGGAAACTCAGAGAAAGATCTCGCCATTGGTTGTGAGCGAGAATACAAAATGGTTTGAAGAATCTACTATTGTAATTGAGGAATTTGTTGTTGTGGCTAAGATAACAATCAATATATGGAAGAAGCAGAAAGATTATGTGAAACTATTGTACTTGAAGAAGCTCGTGAAGCTGAAGCGGAAAAGAATGAGGCCCTAGTGTATGATGTCGATGGGAAAGAAGAAACTGATGAAGCAACCGTGGAAGAATTCAATTTCATTGATCTGAACGCAATTGATGAATATTATGTTCCTCTCTAAGACACTGATAGGGAAGAGTCATTTGTTGAAGAAATTGAAAACTAACATTTATGATAAGAGACGAAGCGGTTGAAGGAAATGCGAAAGAGAACAATTTTGCTGACATAGAAAAAATTGTTCAACAAAAGGTGATTTTTGGTGGACAAGGAAGTTCGTTAAAAGATAACGGCCCCTAAGAATTGAGGACAATTCCTTTCAAAAAGAATGGGATGATACGATTGCAAAAGTCGACCTTTCAGATTCTGTACTAAGTTCCAATTATGAGATGAGTTCAAGTTCCAAAACTCGTTCCAATTCCAAAATAGATTAAAATTACAAATGGATGTGACTGGATGCAAATGATCGCAAGCCATCACAGTCGTTAGTGATCCATTGTGAATCTTTGAACGAGTTTGGTTGTGATTGCGAATCTTAGAAGCCAGTAGGTTCCAATTTGTGGAAGACATGACATCAGTGGCTTTGCGAATCTCGGAGGCTAGCGACTAACATATGATCGGTTGTGACCCTCATATATGAAAGTTACTTGTTTTGATCTATGGTGCAAATGGAATGATAGATAACTTGCAACGGAAGATTGTTGATTGAAAACCCAAGATTTCACTTTATTTTGGAACAATTTTATTTTCTTTTTTAAACCTTGATTAGGTAGTTTCCTTTTTGTAATTAGTTTCTTTTTTGTAATCATTGAAAGGCTATAAAGAGCCCAATGGTCGAACATTATAAGAGTCAATTTTGAGTTGAATTTTGAAAGAACTTTTGTTCATCCTTTCTAAAATTATTACG